TTTTCGTTATAACTCCTCCGTTTATGCAGCTGGGAACATAACATTTCGCAATATGTCCACCCGTTATCAAAAAAATACTTACAGTGAAAATGGCGAAGATCGGGTCGCTATAACCTAAAGCCTCCATACAACTGAATGTTCAGATTCGAGATTCTTTGTTATAACTTCTCCATATATGCAGCTAGAAACATGAAATTTCGCAATATTTTCACTAATTACCAACAGAAAGTTTACAGTAAAATTAACAAAAAACGGGTCACTGTAGCCTATTTATATCCTCCATACAACTGATTGTTCAGATATGGGGTTTTAACCTCTGATTGTTCAGATACCAGTTATTACGACTCCTTTATGTAGGAGTCTAAACCTATTAAATTGTGTTACCGGTTTACATACCGATCGCACAGCAGTGAAAATCACTTAGATTGGTGCTATATAAGGTATATCTTCCATACCTCTGATTATTTAGATATGGTTTTTCATAAATATATGTATCTCCTCTATCTATGTATTCTGTAAATATATAATTTTTTTCAAATGCAGTAATCTGTCAAAGTAAAATTTTCAGATGTTCATGAAAGGTACGAAGCCTTCGGCATAGCCGAAGACAGCGCTCCTCTTACTTGTTTTAGCATGAAAAAGTCTAACGTACTGATTTCGCGCATAAAAAATCTGGCTACCCTATTAGGTGGTCGGTTGTCAAAAATGCTAAACTACGTTCTGCTAGGAAGGAACATAGCAATATTTGAGCCTTTTTTGCTTTCATTACATTTTCAATGAAGTCTTAAAAAACTCGCCTACTTTTTTCTAACTTTTTATGCTGCTACAGCTTTTTTGGTACTTTTGCGAGCGTGCGTGTTGCAATAGATCAGCTCTTCCTGATTGGCTTTGAATGTGCAATTACAAACATTGCAATAAGCCTCGTAACCTCAAGTGTTTACACAACCAGCCTTTGAACGCGGTATCCTTACTCCAAGAATAAAAAAAAATGCGCCTACGCTTGGTTTCATCATATCTAAGTCATCTGTGTCTAAAGAATAAATATCTTTTGAAGCAGCTGGTGCAAAAAACAAAGCTTGCAAAGATTTATTAAGAAAATAATTCAAAATCAGTTCTATTTACGAGATTTAGTAACAAATTTGACGAAAGTGTGAGCGTAAGTATTTACTCTACAAGCAAATAATACGCTATACATTGAATATACCGCACGTCTAATAATATCGAGATGTAATTAAAAATTTGCGTTTTTAGAGATCTCATTATGCAATTAATAAGCTGATAAGTAGAATATGTTCAGTATAATAGATAACTAATGTTCCCAAATATGGCGAAGATATGTGTCTTTTCATCTGTCTTTTTGTATATCAACTATATGAGTTGATTGCGTTATCCCACAAAATTGAAATTTTGAAATACTTCATTATATTATTAAACGTGCGATATTGTGCATAGAGAAAAAATTACTGGGAAGTTAGAAAACGTAGTTTTTTACACAAAAAACGTCCAAATGGCGTTAAATAAGTCAACCTGGAAACGCTGGTGGTAAGCGATGCTTTGTCTTTCGTTTATAAATGTGTACATATGTATGTATGTATTTAGCAACCCTGCAGCAAATCAAACTGGTTCAAAACTTGCCCCGAGCTACCCTGAAAAGGGACGGTACTGGTTCTTCATCTACATATCTCAACTCAACGTTTCAACTTTTAACATGGCGATGTCCTACGAAGTGACAATTGTCGCCCTCTGCAGAACTTTTGAACTTGTTCTGAACTGACTTTGGCTTAGATGGTTCTGAGACAGTTCATATAACAACAGTTCCTAGATAGTTCAAAAAGGGTCACCTCCGGGCTAGAACAAATGTGGTTAGTTTTGAGCTGGTTCCAAAAAGTATAGTATAGAGCCTATTCTTTAAATACTGTAATTAAATAAGTATGTACGCATACAATTTTGTAAATAAAAAATATCTACTTCATTTTATGATTAAAAAGCTATTTGTTTTGCACTAATTTACTTTTTGAGGCAAGCTGTACTTTAAAATTAGGAACATAAAGGGTCAGTTATTCCTTCATTTTCTAAAACCGTTATTCTTAAAAATATTTTATATGGTTTACGTATAATGGTTATTTCTGCGATGCTTATAATAAAAAATCTAAAGTAAGTTGTGCGAAAAGATTAGAAAAGCGGTGATATATTGAATGATTATTTGTGATAACTCAGCGTTAAATTGTATTAAATGTATTGTAATGTAATATATAGACTCTCCGGCATCGAATCACAGTGGTTTTCATGCTAAATAGTTTTCGTAAATTTTTTATTTAAGGATGGCTCATAAGCAGGGATTGATTTTTAGGACCTAAAAACCTATAAGAAAGGCAAAATAAAGTAACGAAATAGGCTGGAAAAGGCAAAATAAAATAGCGAAAAAGGCAGGAAAAGGCACTGGTATTGCAAAAAAGCAAAATAAGCAAAATCAGGCACTGAAAAAAGGCAGAAAATATGAAGAACAATCAAAAAATACATTTATTTTAGAAATGTTTATATTACAACTAAAAAGAGAAAAACTATGAACTAGTTTCATTATATGAAAAATTTATACTTTGAATCTTTGACTATTTTATCCTTTCGAGTTTCTAACTCATAAAACTTTAATCTGTATAGTTGTAGTAACATTGAACCACAAGATGCATTTTGAAGTTTTCTGGCAGCATTTTCATTCGATTTTCGCGAAGAAAAGCCTTGAATATACTAAATGTGTGCTCGACGTAAACTGATACAAGTGGAGCCCAATTTAAATAAGGAACGTCTGAAACGTTCATATTATCAAAAATAAGTGCGTTTTNGGCGTTTTCCTCGCTCTTTATAATTTTATCCACACCCCTTATGAGAAAACGGTTTTGAATTTTACCAACACCAATTTGGCAAGAGGTCTCTGCGCTTCTATAAGCCGCATGGGCAATGTGTATATTTTTTAATATTAAAAAAAAATTCTAAATGCTATAATCACTTTTTTAAAGGTAGCAAAGGCAAAAAAAGGCAAATATCTTAAAAAAGGCAATTATCTTAAAAAAAGGCAAAAAAATGCAACATCAATTGTGTATATATGGAATCAGGGAAAGCTAAATCGTGGACATTCTTAATCGAATATACTCTATCTCTTTAGCAGAAAAAAAGGCAATTTCCATAAAATCCGTTCCCTGCTCATAAGTATTACAACCAGTGTTGCCGCGCCGTCTCAAGAAAATGTATCCCTGACCAAGCCAAAAATGTATCCAAATGTATCCAATTTTCTTTTTTTTACATATACATCTCATAATTTGTAAGAAAACCAAACATTTTCATGAAAAAGACATAATTTAACCCATCCTAAGGACTTGGAATACATGTGCATGAAATCAAACATTTGTAATTTCAATTTATAAAGTATATTTTTTGTGCATAAGTATTTTGCAAAGTAAATATAATAAATAGCAAGTACACTCTAAAAAGAGCATGTAAAACTACTACTGAAAAGTATCTATTTTTCAACAAGAATCTGTATAAATATACATATAGGATGTTCAGTACTTGATTTTGAACTTGAGATCTTTAAAATATGCACATAAATACACATATATAGAATGTTTAAAATTGCAAAAATTTTCAAACTGCAAATGCATTTCCTACTAATAATAAACATTACTTTATTTTAAACATTTTATGTGTAAAAGTAAACAGGCAATGATTAATTTTATTACACGGCGTGCAAATTTGCACACATTAAAAGAGGAAACTGGTTACCTCTCTCAATATGCGCAAATAAACAAAATTTTTTAGAGTGTATTTAAAGTCTTTTCAGTAAAATTCATAAAAGTTTCCTTAAATAAATCAAATTTAGTTTTTTAAACTACATTGAAATCTTCTTTCTTTTTAAATTAACAAATGAAAATATGTGATATGAAAGAGACTACTACAGAAAGAGTATAATTTATTTTATATATATCGTCGTTTAAAGTATAAAACCGCGTATCGTCATTCTGCAAAACCGCGTAACTGACGTTTGCTGCCAAAAATTGGATTTGCTTACACAAGCTCTTGGCTCAATCCTTATCCATTCGTCCTGAAATATACTAGCAAGAGTGCGATTGCTTTATAAAAAAGAGAACCATTTTGAAATAAACATAAGTGTTTTTAGTCTCTAGAAAAAAATCTATGCAACGTCACATACGAGGTTTTGCATTATCTTGATACGCGGTTTTGTACTTTAAACGACGATATGTTTATTAAGATCTTGCTTAAAGCATCCTTTTAAGCTAATTAAAGCAATTGCGCTTATACCTATTTTGGTGAGATATCTTCATATGTCCATTGCTTCGTTCACAAAAAATAAAATGCTTTAATTTCACGCTTAAGTAGCGATTCTTTATCCGTTTATAAAACGTAATGCTTTCTACCATCTTTAATGAAAATCGATTTTTGAACGAAAAAAACTTTATAGGAAATATAAAATTTTGGCCTATTTAAAAAAGTATCCACATTTATACTGACCGGAAAAAATAAGTATCCCGCAAAAATTCGTCTAAAAATGTATCCAATTGGATCTATTTAGATCCAAACGGCATCCCTGATTACAACATAAACATATAAATTCACGTTTCTAACTGTGTTGGAAATTTAGTAGAATTCTAGAAACTGTTATAAAAACTTCTATATTTTAAATCAGAGTTTATAAATATGCAGTTCTAAAGCCCATTAAATTTTAGAATAATTAATGATTTTTTATAACTCTTTCTACGCTCGACTTCAAGGTTCATATTCTATTTAATTATTTTCGTTTAAGATGCACGGTTACACGTTACTACACTAAAATTTGATGCGCTACAAAACTGAATACTCGAAATATATAGTATAAAAAAAAACTCTGATTAAAAAGTTTGAAATTTGAAGACCGTTTTACAGTTCTGTCAAGTTTGCAGCACAGTTAGGAATTTGAATTTAAATGGTTTATGGAATATTAGACTTAAATAAAAACTTAACGAAAAATATTTGAAATGAAAAACATTGGAAATAAAAAAAAAATCACTGCATGACTACACATTTCGGGTGATCAGTGATATATTTGCGTATGTACAGTATCGGTCATATCAATAGCACCCCCATTTCAAAGCGAGATTGTTTACCAATTTTGTTTATTTATTATTTATTTATTAATCTGATTAAAAGGTCGAACATTTTGATTAAAAACCATTAAATTTTCCTTTGTTTTTTATGAAGTTTGAAAACACGGTTTATATGATTTTGTTTTAAGCAAGATAACTTTTTTATAAAATAAAACTAAATTTTATGGTTATATTTTGCATTCAATTTTATACGTACGTATGTATATGGGCACATCTAAAAAATAGGTACACTTTCAAAAAAACAAAATTTTAATTCTTAAATTTGTGAGCACACCTATGTTTTATATATAATCTCTTAATAAATCGATTAATATAAGTTTAATTCATTTTCATCAAGAGCTTCAAAAGTAAGACGAGGAATAAACATGAAATAGAAAACAAAAGAATAAGCTGGGTTCAAATTACGCTGTTCAAGTTGTAAAGTTTGAGCAAAGAATTTGAAAGTCGAGGTCACTTAATTGGGATGTTGTAAATTCAATGGCATGCCCCGTTTTACCAGATTGGCTCCGGTTTTCGAGATAACGGTACTCGAAAATTTGATTAAGTTGAAGTTATTTTACTAAAATTTTGCACATAACAGTTTTTTAATATTACCTTAATTATTCCTTAAAATTATCGCAATAGGTTCACATTAACATATAGCTCCAATACAACTGATTACTCAGATATGTGTTTTTGCGCTATAAATCTAATTTCATATCTGAATAATAAATTGTATGCGTGCTATATGTTAAATTGAACCTATACTAAATTTTAACTTGTTTAATTGTAGGAGTTATAACGCAAAACAACGTCTCTGATCAATATGTTGTACGGGAGCTAGATGTTTTAGTGAACCGATTTCGATGATTTTATGGCATAGTTAAGGTAATATTATGTGCAAAATTTTAGTAAAATATATTCAAAACTAAGGGACTTTTTTATGAAATAATTAAAATTTAAGCTAAGTTTCAAGTACCGCTATCTCGAAAAGTGTAGCCAATAGGGTAAAACTGAGGACGCCGTTGAACTTAGGAGGCTCCAATTAAGTAATAACAACTATCAGAACATTTGTCGAAAAAAAGGTACTTTGATACCACTCTCGAAATATTCTGACTAAAAGAAGGAGCATCATTAAAAGTAGTAAATCAGGGATTTCACACACTTCTAGAGACAAATTTTTTGAAGCATTTTACAGGTATATGTAATTTTATATGGACTATCAGTTATAGAAAGATTTAGATCATTTCGACATATTTTCCTAATGTGCCTTCAATTAAGTTGTTTTTGGAATAAAAATTACGCTCAAGATCACAGAATATTTTATCTTTAAAAGTTAGTTTATTCTGAAAGCACACCTCTTGCTAAGGTATCAAATTATTCGTAATTGTTTGTAGAATACAATACATACTTAAAAAGTTCTTAAAATTAAATGCTTCAAAACCTATACGCGATAAGCGGAAAATTTTGAAAATTGTGAAATGTAGAGTTACAGACTTTGAGTTACTTGCCAATTCGTTATTTTTTAAGGTACACTTTTCTTACTTAGTACATATGAAGTATACACATAAGTGCTAAATGCCCATTTAATTTCAAATCAGAATATGGTGTGCTTCAAAAGTTATGACATAATTAATTGTGCCCCTCTTAAAAAATACATAAAATATTCACTTGTTTTCATTATTTTTTTAAATTTAAGCACCTATAATTCAAAAGTTATGCAGCAAATTGATCCTTTGTGTTATTTAGCTTTATTTTCACTGTTGTAAACTAAATCCAGCTGGTTGCTTTTGGATATAATTCATTGACGTATACTTGAAGCCTCGAAAAAAATTTGTGTTATTTAGCTTTATTTTCACTGTTGGAAACTATATCAAGCTGGTTGCTTTTGGATATAATTCATTGACGCATACTTGAAGCCTCAAAAAAAATTTTGATCAATTTGCTGCATAACTTTTGAATTATAGGTGTTTAAATTTAAAAAAAATAATGAAAACAAGTGAATTTGTATGTAATTTTTAAGAGGGGCAAAATTAATTATGTCATAACTCTTGAAGCACACCATATTCTGATTTGAAATTTAATAGGCATTTAGCACTTATGTGTATACTTCATATGTAGTAGGTAAGAAAAGTGTGCATTAAAAAATAACGAAATGGCAAGTAAATCAAAGTCTGTAACTCCACATTTCACCATTTTGAACATTTTCGGTTTATCGCGAATAGTTTTTGAAGCATTTAGTTTTAAGAACTTTTTAAGTATGTATTGTATTCTACAAACAATTACGAATAATTTGACACCTTAGCAAGAGGTGTGCTTTCAGAATAAATTAACTTTTAAAGATAAAATATTTTGCGATCTAGAGTCCTTATAACGTCTCCTTATAACGTTGCCTGTAACCTGTAAAATGCTTCAAAAAAATGTGTATCAAATCAAATTTTTTTCGACAAAGCTTCTGATAGTTGCTCATACTTAATTGGAGCCTTTTAAATTCAATGGCGTCCCCAGTTTTGCCCGGTTGTCTCCACTTTTGGAGATAGCGGTACTTGAAAGTGAACCGATTTCGATGATTTTATGAGATAGTGAAGGAAATGTTAAAATACAAGCGTGTGCAAAATTTTAGGAAAATAACTTCAAAACTGAGGGAGTTATTTATAAAATAGTTAAAATTTAATCAAAGTTTCAAATACCGTTATCTCGAAAACTGGAGCCAATCTGGTAAAACGGGGGATGCCATTGAATTTAGAACGTGCCAATTAAGTGAATGCAACTTTCAAAATCTTTGCTCAAAATTTACAACTTGAACAACCCAGCTTATTGTCTTGGGTCCTATTTCACGATTATTCCTCGTCTAACTTTTAAAGCACTTGATGAAAATGAATTACATTTATATTAATGGATTCATTAAGAGAGTACGAATAAAATGATATATAACAAGTAAGAAAGTCTAAGTTCGGGTGGAGCCGAACATTAAATACCAGGCGCAAGTATTAAATATATGTTTTTTCACCTTTCCGAAAGCTACCGCTAGATGGTAAGCCGGGGTATATCAATTTTGAGTAAATTAGCGTCCTTAAATTTCGAAATGTTGCAGTTTCAAGCATTTCTGAAATTCACCGTTATATGAAAAGCGGCCGTAATTTTAGTCCGATTTCAATAATTTCCGACGTTTTGATTTTATGTGGCAAGCACAATAACCATACCGAATTTGGTACATATTGGTCTAACGGTTACCGAGATACATATATGTGATCATAAGTGGGCGGTGCCACGCCCATTTTCTAAAATTTACCAAGTTATACACATGTAGCCATAAGTGGGCGAGGCTACGCCCATTTTCCAAAAATTTATAATATTCTTATTTTTCGTCTAAAAATTGTTGTAAATATCAATTTTGAGTGAATTATTTTCAGTAGTTACTAAAATATCGCAGTTTTAGTATTTCCGAAAATTACCGTTATATGGGATGTGGGCGTGGTTATTGTCCGATTTTTAAAATTTTCGGCCATTTAGTATGCTGTATCAAGGCCAACAACTGTGCCAAGTTTGGAAGAAATTGGTGCAGCTGTTCCTAAGATATACACATGTAACCATAAGTGCGCGTGGCTACGCCCATTTTCCAAAAACTTATAACATTCTTATTTTTTGTCTGAAAATTATTATAAATATCAATTTTGAGTGAATTATTTTCAGTAGTTACTAAAATATCGCAGTTTTCGTATTTCTGGAAATTACCGTTATATGGGAAGTGGGCGTGGTTACAGTCCGATTTTGCCCATTTTCAATACCAACCTACGTTGGATTAACGGAAACCTCCATACCAAATTTCGTTGAGATATCAATTTTTGCTCGAGTTATCGTGTACACGGACGGACGGACAGACGGACAGACGGACTGACAGACAGACATGGCTTAATCGATTTCTCTATTCATTCTGAGCATTTATGTATACATTTGTCTATATCTATCTCGATTCGTTTTGGCTGTTACAAACAACCATTATGTGAACAAAATTAGTATACCCTTGTGCTCGGGTATAAAAAATAGGTGTGCTCACAAATTTAAAAATTAAAATTTTTTTTTGGAGAGTGTACCTATTTTTTAGATTTGCCCATCTATATTAATAAAAATGTTGTGTTCGTACGTCACGGTCGTCAAAACTCGAGAACGGCTGAACCGATTTGAATATTTTTTTTTTGTATTATTCGGTATAATACCAGAACCAATGATACCGCAAAAAATTGGAGGGTTGCCACCTATTGTAAAATTTTTAAACCCAATCGTATTGATAAAATAAATGAATAATAACAATATGGGTATCAAATTAAATAGGCTTAAGAAATATAACTGTTGAAAATATCTTTGGGGAGGGTTGCCACCTATTTGAAAATTTTAACTCAGTAAAATTGATAAAATAAATGAAATATTGACATGTGGGTGTCAAACTGAAGAGTTTTAAGAAGGCTTACAGTCGAAAATATGTTTGAAGAGGGTTGTCACCTGTTTGAATATTTAACTAAAGTACATCGATAAAATAAATGAAATATTACGATATGGGTATCAAATTAAATAGGTTTAAGAAAGATAACTGTTGGAAATATTTTTGAGAAGGGTTGCCACCAATTCTAAATTTTAACTCAGTAAAATTGATAAAGTAAATGAAATATTGCTATGTGGGTATCAAACCAAAGAGGATTAGGAAGGCTTACGGTCGAAAATATTTTAAAGGAGGGTTGCCACCTGTTAAAAATTTAGCGCAATTTAATTGGAAAATTGGAATTCGANTGCAAGAGATAATATTATTAAGATTATAATTATCATTACTATTATGAACTCCTATTCCCGATCAAGGATTCCCAAACTACGATCCCATGATGCAAATGTTAAGATAATAAGAGCTGCAGAACCTAACCATGCAGGAACATTTTTTTACAAGGGCGTGTAATTTCTGGCNAATAAGCGGATACGGACGATGGGTGGTGGCTGACGGTCGTTCCTAATTGAACACGGGAAAATAGGTGCCCGCGCTCTTTTCAATAGAATTGAGTTCAACCTCAAAGCAGTAAAACTGTTTGAAGGGGAAGTTAAAAGATAGTTAATTTGGCGGGGAAAATGTATGACAGTTTCTAATAAATACATGTGTACATGTGTGGGTACATATGTATATTATTAAGCATTAAGGTGGACCGTCTTGGATTGATTAAATAAATGAAATATTGCAAAGAAGACTTACAATCGAAAATATGTTTGGGGTACAATATTGGTGCCAAACGAAAGGTATTTGAAAAATCTCGATTTGGAAATATTTTTAATAGGAATATTACTTATCTAAAAGTAAAGACCGAAAATATTGAAATTAAATGAAATATTACATAACTGGTTCCAAACGAAAATTGTTTGGGAAAGCTTTACTAGCAAATTTTTTAAATCTTTCCACTTATCCAAAATCCGAATAGTTTAATTAAATATAGAATTTAGAACATCTTATCAAACGAAGTGATCATATTATCAACGAGGAGTTGGCGCACAAATTACTTAATGTAAAAAATTAATAACTAAGTAATTTTTAAGCAAAAAATACGCCGACTCCAATTTTCACATACAAATTTAATGGTACCGTTAATTTTTTCATGATCCAATGATCGGATCTAAACCAAATTAATATGGGATCACCTGGAAATCGGTTGACGTGGTCCAAAGTTATACGGTAACATACATAAAAAAAAAATATTCCGACGAATTGATAACCTTCTCCTTTGTTTTGAAGTCGGCTAAAAACTACTGAAACAAATAAAAAATTATAAAAGAGTAACGAAAACAAATAACTTTCGTTTGAAAGCTGTTTAAAAAATACTTTATGAAAACTTAAAATTGTTGACATCATTCCCTAGCATTGTAAATAAGTCAACTTTTATTCGTAAACAATTTCGTTTGCGGTCGCCATAGCATACGTAGTAGGCTAAGGAATTTTGAATTGCAAGAGATAATATTATTAAGATTATAATTATCATTACTATTATGAACTCCTATTCCCGATCAAGGATTCCCAAACTACGATCCCATGATGCAAATGTTAAGATAATAAGAGCTGCAGAACCTAACCATGCAGGAACATTTTTTTACAAGGGCGTGTAATTTCTGGCGTATGCCGATGACATCGACATCAGCGGTAACAAAAATCGCGAAGTGTCTTCTGCCTTTTCCAAGCTGGTAAGCGAGGACAAGACGAAGTATCTCCTGTCATAAAAAACAGTCAGCGCATTAGCGCCTTCGAACCCACGTCACTGTTGACAGTTATAATTTCGGGAAAGTGGAGAATTTCGTTTACTAGGGAACCAGCATTATCACCGATAAAAACATCAGCATGGAAAACAAACGCAGAATCACTCTTGCCAACAAGTGCAACTTTGGACTGAGTAGGAAATTCTCGACGTACAAAAACCGCACTCTATAAGTCACTCACCATGCCCGATCTGTTATATGGCGCAGAAGCTTAGACAATGACTACATCCAATGAGACTGCTCTTGGAGTGTTCGAGAGAAAGATCTTACGGAAGTTTTACGGGCTTCTACGCATGCGCGACGGGGATTTCCGTAGACGATGTAACAATGAGTTGTATGAGATTTACAACGAAATGTACATAATGCAGGGAATGAAAATGCAGCTCCGCCGGCTTAGACATTGTCGTTCCAATAGGAACCGAAGTTCCAGGTGTGAAAGAAATCAACTCGTAGTCCGCTGGTGTTAGCAGAGGAATAGGGGCTACCTATTACCAATGGAATGGAGATGCCAAGTTGGCACAGAATGGAAGGACTGGCCAAAATGTCTTAGGCGGTTACAAAGCCAAAGCAGAAGAAGAATATGCAAATGATAAAGGACGGAGTTGGGGGGCCATCTTCTTGGATGCGCCAGGAGGAACTAGGAAAATATTCCTTATCAGATGGATTCTGGCAACGGTTCGATCAAAAAAATACATTACCTTAGCTATCGCTTCGTCTGAAATCGCTGCGACATTGTTACCAGGTGGAAGCATTGCCAATTCAGCTCTTGAGCTGCCATTGAACATATAAAACATCGAAACACTCACGTGCAATATTTCCAGAGCATCCGGTATGGAAAATGTATTACAAAAATTTAAACTCTTTGTTTGGGATGAGTGCACCATGGCACATAAAAAATCGCTTGAGGTTCTTGATCGATTGTTGCGAGATTTGCGTGGAAACGTTCAACCATTCGGGAATGCATTGATATTGCTCGCAGGAGATTTTACGCAAACATTGTCTGTAGTTTCTCGATTAAAAGCGCAGTTACCCACGGACGTAAAACCGGAGAACGTGTCAGCTGACACGATCTATCTTATGGGATCTGCGTGTTAACAAAAACTCGCCACCGCATGACCGTGACGTAGACGTTGCTTCTCTCTCTTTCTACCAACAGCATACTTGATATCTTTCTACGTACTTCTACGCTACACTACGTACACGTTTGTGGGAACCGCGCTCTAACACTAGCGGACGAGATAAATGCTTGCCTGAAATAGTCAATATTGCGACAAGACGAACTTACATACACTGCAGCCGAAGTATTCTCGCTACAATTAGTGGACACTGGGAACGGAAAGCTGCCAGTCAATGAGAGATTAAGAGGAGTTTTATGGCCTGATAATTTTTGTAACTTCAAAACCATTGAAAGGNGCATGGAAAACAAACGCAGAATCACTCTTGCCAACAAGTGCAACTTTGGACTGAGTAGGAAATTCTCGACGTACAAAAACCGCACTCTATAAGTCACTCACCATGCCCGATCTGTTATATGGCGCAGAAGCTTAGACAATGACTACATCCAATGAGACTGCTCTTGGAGTGTTCGAGAGAAAGATCTTACGGAAGTTTTACGGGCTTCTACGCATGCGCGACGGGGATTTCCGTAGACGATGTAACAATGAGTTGTATGAGATTTACAACGAAATGTACATAATGCAGGGAATGAAAATGCAGCTCCGCCGGCTTAGACATTGTCGTTCCAATAGGAACCGAAGTTCCAGGTGTGAAAGAAATCAACTCGTAGTCCGCTGGTGTTAGCAGAGGAATAGGGGCTACCTATTACCAATGGAATGGAGATGCCAAGTTGGCACAGAATGGAAGGACTGGCCAAAATGTCTTAGGCGGTTACAAAGCCAAAGCAGAAGAAGAATATGCAAATGATAAAGGACGGACTTGGGGGGCCATCTTCTTGGATGCGCCAGGAGGAACTAGGAAAATATTCCTTATCAGATGGATTCTGGCAACGGTTCGATCAAAAAAATACATTACCTTAGCTATCGCTTCGTCTGAAATCGCTGCGACATTGTTACCAGGTGGAAGCATTGCCAATTCAGCTCTTGAGCTGCCATTGAACATATAAAACATCGAAACACTCACGTGCAATATTTCCAGAGCATCCGGTATGGAAAATGTATTACAAAAATTTAAACTCTTTGTTTGGGATGAGTGCACCATGGCACATAAAAAATCGCTTGAGGTTCTTGATCGATTGTTGCGAGATTTGCGTGGAAACGTTCAACCATTCGGGAATGCATTGATATTGCTCGCAGGAGATTTTACGCAAACATTGTCTGTAGTTTCTCGATTAAAAGCGCAGTTACCCACGGACGTAAAACCGGAGAACGTGTCAGCTGACACGATCTATCTTATGGGATCTGCGTGTTAACAAAAACTCGCCACCGCATGACCGTGACGTAGACGTTGCTTCTCTCTCTTTCTACCAACAGCATACTTGATATCTTTCTACGTACTTCTACGCTACACTACGTACACGTTTGTGGGAACCGCGCTCTAACACTAGCGGACGAGATAAATGCTTGCCTGAAATAGTCAATATTGCGACAAGACGAACTTACATACACTGCAGCCGAAGTATTCTCGCTACAATTAGTGGACATTGGGAACGGAAAGCTGCCAGTCAATGAGAGATTAAGAGGAGTTTTATGGCCTGATAATTTTTGTAACTTCAAAACCATTGAAAGGAGAACTGATCGAAAGAATGTTTCTTTATTAAGAAAAGTAATTTTAGGAATCCCGATTGGCTCAGTGAACGGGCTGTTCATGCTGCGAAGAATAAGGAGGTCTATCAACTAAATAATAGTGGTATTGACAACAGTCGTTGCTTGAGCTGATCAGCTCTTTTACCAGACTGCCAGGCCACTTGCTCACTTTGGTGAATACCACTAATGTTATTCAATCCAGCATTCAACGTGAGGAAATAGCATATACGTCGATAAACACCGTTGTGGAAAAAGACGATCCAACCGAACTTTTTAACTCGATTGATCTTCCAGGGAGACGCACACACTGAAATTGAGAATAGGTGTGACAATTATCATGTTGCGGAATATTAATCAGCCAAAACTTTGCAACGGCACGCGACTCGCATTTATGAAATTGATGAAGAAAGTAGTGTAAGTAAAGATTTTAAGGTGACCTTTTAAAGGTGAAGAGTTCCCATGATTCCGACTGATACACTATTTTAATTAAAAAGATTGCAATTTCCAATTCGATTGACATTCGGAATCACAATCAATAATGCTTTGAATAATGCTTGATATCTATGTAGAGAATGGAAAAACAACAAATATTGTGTGCGCACAAGTACTTATTACATAACCAAACACATATGAAACGTATGCTTTGTTTCGTTAATAATTTATTATCTATATAACAGGAATATGCCACAGCAAAGCGTGGCAGGGCCCAGTAGAAATCTTAAGCATACAACATCGCTGTTGGTGGCATGAGCTTGCTGCTGTGTATACATGCCAGTATAAATGAACCTTCATTTCCATTTACCACGCGTGGTTTCTCAGAGCGTATGCCTACCTTAATCATACACTTGTACTACTGCTGTATGCATATGGCTGTATTAATGTTTCAGACATACAAAAATGCATTAATGGAACAGTATCAAAGCATTCTTA